CATATTCTGAAAAAAAGCGATTACGCTCCTTCTCGGAATATGTCACTCTTTCGAATCCGATTCTGAGACTTTCAGAGCCACATTCTGACGCGTTATTCATGTAATCTCTTTGGCCGTTTATTCTCGTTCCTGTGCTCACGAAATAAAAACTCAACTTAAAAGACTAATGATATAAAATATCTATTATTCCTATCAGTTTTTCAAATTCTTTTAAACAACATAGATTACTTTCTGCCAAATTCTGAATTTTTAAGCTTTTTTCTAGGATAACCTAAATCGCTAATTATTTAAACGTTACTGACTTTAAAACAACATAGTCAGCGATAGAAGGGTAATATCAGGAATACTATACATACAGAATTATTTTGTGTATACGAGTGTGAACAGAGGGGGTGAAGCGGTCAGCTTGTTCCCACTTATTAACTTCTTTGTCAGGAGATGGCCTATGTTGTAAACGAGTGAGAGAGTTACCGAGGTCGTAACAAGGTGTCGGCCGTACTCAATGATGACACATACTCTTATAATAAATAAACCAGCGCGTGGCGACGTCTGTTACGAGATTTTGTTATAAAAATGTTTGTATTTTTAATTATTATAATAAGACAAAAAGCTTAATTTTGACGGTAATGACGAGCTTTTTTAAAAAAAGAAAGAATTGTAAATGCTAATAACAAGTAAGAACTATTAAGTCTCATCCCTCCGGAGATATGATACATGACTTTTCTGTATCTTCCCAGCTATTGGACAGTTAACCACCAAAATTTAATTGCATTAATGCCCTTTTATATACAGTACAAACTACAATGACTAATTTCTTTTCTTATTCTTTACTTTTGTCTTGAGATTTTAAACGAAATACACACACGTACAGCACATTTTCAAAGGAACGGGGAATTTTTAAAATTATTTTTTTACAATTTTAGATTCAGAGCGTCTCAGTACGTAGAGATTTGTATAAGGATCAGATCGTCGAGTTTGACACAAATCACTTTCCTTGTTACATGACAACCGTAAAAGTAATTTTGTAATGTAAGTGGGAAAGGTGCTCTTAAACTGAGAACATATCAAATGTGCCTTACAAAAGTTCCATTCAGGAAATTTCGAAAGAAACGATTCAAAACCTATATTTCTGTGTCTATCCTTAATTAAAGCATGTTTTTCTTTTAAAATAAATGACTTAAACACACAGTACATTTTCATAAATTTAAAACACTGTGTTTTAAATTTATGAAAACGAAGATCGTGTAACATATCATTGTGATTAAATTTGCTTTTTTTATTGTTATAATTAATAAAAGCCCTCTTTGGATAATTTAACAGTAATTACTATTTTATATCTTGCACTAACAGAACAATTATCATAAAAATTTGGACGAAAAACCGTTGTATTTATTATTTTTTCTATTTAAAAACTGTGCGAGAGAAAATTTCATACATGACAACGTTACACAAAAATAACTGCATCGTTTGGCTATTTAAAAAATAGTGAAAGCCATTACTTAAAAAAGAGGATACCAGCCAAGAAAGTGCTCCATAAAGTACAAAATGATCCAACGAACGTTTCTCGCCGATATTTTCGAAAAAGTTTAAAGTTTTTATTTTGTTTTTGTGTACAATTTTTAAAACTTGTAAATTTATAAATTCATACTGATGGCCTTCCGTCCGTCGGTCAGTCCGTCTGTCTTTCCTTAATCTCCAGAACAGAGTTAGACAGATCAGAACTGAGACCAAAAATGGAAACCTTAGAGGAGTGAAGCCCGAATTAACTATACATTAAGTTTTGATACAAAGAGGAAGACACGTTATTTCATTTCAAAATTTACCCCTAAAAGGTGTTAGATAGATGATGGCACGACTCTGTTGTTAAAAAAATTATGATGTAGAGTACAGGAGCAAGCCACTACTAATTTGAGGTGGATAGCATATATTTTAAATTAAATAAATTAAATAATTTTGCACGGCATAATAAACGAGCAATTATTTATTGTGACATCTGTAACAATGTCACAATAAATAATTGCTCGTTTATTATGTTACATAGGTTTTTTTCTAATAGTTGTTTTGTGGTACCGAATAATATATGACACATCAGCATAACACAGAAAACAAATTGTTTATTGAAACGTAATAAAAGGACAAGTTTTATTTTGTTTAATAATACAGCAATAGAAAGAAACGTGTTTATAACATTCTACGAACTTCTTGAAATGATTATATACTGTACATACAGTTTAATAGGATTTCATAGGACTCACCGTTGCATTTACAGTATCACGAATTCAACTTGCTCATAACTTTTACACAGAAAGGTTTTTTATACCTTAATCTCGGGGCTTCGCTTGAGGCGATTTTACGCAAATGTATTCTTTAAAGCAGTCTCTCCGTTTTCCATCAGGACAAAAATATCGAAGAACTTCAAATTTACACTAATTTCGAACTTACCCCGCGATTTCTTTTCGAAAACATACTCTTCCTGACGTAGATTTCTAAGGCAACTAATCGAACAAGCAATACAAATGTCAAAAATTGCACGAATTTACATTCACAGGAGTATTATTCAAGTATTTGATGTCTGCAACTACAATGACGATAAAACTTCAAAGTCCCCCTGGACCAAACAAAGTGTCATAAATAATCTCGAAAGTATATTTCAGTAGGAACTTAACTGTTTGAAACTTCATATTTAAATATCTTAATTTTTAATAACTTTGGTAGAGTTCGACTAATTTATTTACTTGCGGAAACGCAAAATATGGGCAAATTTCCAGGTCAATTAATTTTTCCCGGGAAAACTTTCTATGGGAATCAAGATCCTGTTAATGTTACTAATGTAAAAAAAAAAACGGTAAACTCCATGTGGCCACGCGCGAACCCACGACCACAGTGTTCAGTGGTTTTATTTACTACTGTATTGATCGGATTATTTTCAACGAGAAAGATCAAATAGTTCATTAAAATATATCGATGTATGGCATTACTATTCTGAAATTGTTCGCAGATTTGTGGCATTCATAGTTATTACTTTTTATACTGGTCTTATTCACGACTAAGTATCAAGTGTCAAAATTTAACCAATAAGTGTTTACGTACTAGAAGTACGGTTAACAAAAATTGATTAAATTCTAACTCTGACTTTTTATACCTCGTTGTATTACGACTTTTGAATACTTTTTGAATAATTAATAGTAAGCTTTTCTAGCTTTTCGAAAATAAAAATCTATTCAACATTATTATCCTTGTAGTGAAAAATTCTTTCATTCCATTTCACAATTTAATATTTTTCGAAATATTTCATCAAACAGACTCGAGATTGATAATGATCAGAGTCGAATTGAAACTATTTGTCAATAAATTAGTATTTCGCTTTCTCGCGTAAAATTCGATCTTCAGGTTTTTACAAATCTCGACGTATTGAGACACTCGAACTCAAAAAAACTAAAAAAATAACAAGAGAATTCGTGCGTTCGTGTGTTGAAATAATTTAATTCAATACGTGGTATCTTCGACTAGCATAAAAGATAAAATAACGAAATTTGAGATGCAAACATGAAAATATGTGGCTTTGACGCTGTTAAATTTTGGTGGTTAGAGGTGAAAGATTATATAGAGAGAAGGGACCATTTATCCCATCTCGAGTGGGGTTCGAACTGAATAAAAACCTTGCTCTCGTTATTAAAATTTATAAGTTTTTAAAAAATGCCGTCGCTACTATCAAAATTAAGCCTGTAGCCTTTTTATTATAATTAATAATATTAAAGTTATTTTTAATAACATTTCTTGACAGATGGCATTTAAACTTTGTACTAACGTATTTAAGTGTTTCTTAATATAAATATTATTTTCTCGGAAGAGTTATACAACGGGTTGCTGATTTTTTTTTAATCGAAAATGTCGAATTTAAATATTGATAATTTCTAAGTTAAACGTGAGAATGAACGTTTCAATGTTTATTTTTAACTAATTTTTTGAATTTTTACTTATTTCTATTATAAGTTTCAAGCAAAAAAAAAATCATTTGCTTCAAACTATCAGAATATTCGATTGGAGTAAAATTCGGTGTTAAATTTAGAAGCATTTATATTTTTACTCGGGATTTTACTGCATTTATTATTTGTCGTCTTTTCTAGTTCAATAAGAGAAGATAGAAGTGAATACAGTGCACTTATTGCCTGAAAATAGAAGTAAAGATACTATATTACAATAAATTAACAACTTAAAATTTAAAATTATGATATCGCTTATAAATTATATTTATTTCTTATTCACACAGTGTGCATAGCCGAACCCATTTAGTATGGTTAAAAGCCCTACATAGCGCTTACGAAACGGAAAAAATTGTGAGCACTAAGAAAAACTTTTAACCATATTCATCGTGAGTTTGGCTACGAAAAGTTTCTAACGTTTTTCGATTGTCCCATCACTACTTTAGGACGACAAGTTTGAGACTTGAGCCGTCCGACCATCTTGACAATCTTCTTCATTAATTAAAAAAACCAATTTTGTGGAATTTGAAGCAGAAAAAAAAGTAAACGTTCTTCAGACTTTCAAAACCCAAAAACAAATAAATAATCGATAAATGCACAAAAGTTCGAGTACTTAAACGTTTTCTTTTCTCTTTTCCAATCTAATAATTATGAACTTGCTTGAAGTTATAATTAAAAATTTTTCAACTACATTTGCAGTGTTTACATATTGTTGTTACTCGTACACATTAAAATGTTCTGTGCATAAATATGAAAATATACAAATGAACAATTAACTAATTTACTCGAAAAATCAATTATTGTTTCATATATAATTAAACATTTCTTTAAATTTGTTGAGGTTGGTTTTATCAGTAATGAATAGCCAAACTTACACTGACGCAAAGGTAGGAGATTCCAATTGAAATTACACGTGCAAAATAATAGTACCCGAGTTCAATTCAAATACGGATACTTATGATAAATAACAAGTAATTTACATGGTAAGTTGTTGGTNATTAAATTACATGTTTTATTCAGAAGTTTTAAGAATTATAGAGCAATATTTTTAAGATAAGATAAAAAATTAAAGGAAAATTCTTTAAAATTATTCAACTTTATTATTTTTAACAAAAAAAGGTGTAAATATGTCACATCTGTATTAATAGTATGAAAATTATGATGTAAAACAAAATATTTAGGCTATGCTCTTTTACATAATTTTAAATTAAATATGATATGAATTAAAGAATTGATGCATCAGTTGAAAGCGAATCAAAACGTTAATAATTTTAAGAAATTAATTATCTTGAAAAATCGTTTCTTTATAAATTTGTATAATGAAATTTTGAATTCTAATTTTTGTTTTTAATATTTGAAATTTCCTTTCCACTTAACTAACTACATCATCAAAATGGCGGACCAAAGGGACGAGCGATAAATGAAGCGTAACCTTTCGAAATTCTCTAACAAAAGTAAAGAAGAAGAAAATAAAAGAAATAGCCAGAAACCATTCGCATATAGCACTAGTTAATATCTCTGTAAAGCCCTGGAATAATTAAATAGAATTTAGTAATTGATAAATTTATATAGACTAACAAAATAAATTTCTTACCCTATCTGATGGTACTTTATCAGCTTTTGGTTTCATTTGATTCCACAATCTTCGGCCAAGTGGAAATATAATAGTCACTTAAAAATTTTAAAGTCAATTTCAGTCGTTTTGAATAAATTATTATAAAAAAAAATTTCAATAATTAAATTTACATGTTATAAGAAATAAAATACAAAAAGTGCATATGGCCAAACGAATGCGGAAGATCAAAATTCCATTATAAGTAGGATACATCCAAAATGTGAGGATAGTCTGCAGAATACCATAGAAAAGGCATCCAAAAAATAGTAACACAGCTCCTGTTACATGAGCACTGATTATGCCATACATCTGTAAATAATTCGTCTTCTAATTACACAACTTCTATTAAAGACCAAAGAGTAATATTATTATTTTACTTACAGGATAACAGCCTACAATTATCATTCCGCACAAAGATAAATAACCGACAAATAAAGATATTTTGTTTAAAATGTCTATTTTTCGGATACTTCCTTCATTTAATTCGGATACGAGTAAATAACGAATCGTCATAACTGCCATTCCTGTTAAGAATAATTCAAAATTAATAAATGTGATATATAGGTATCCCTCGTGCAGGGGCGGATCTAGGTTTTCGGGGCCTAGGGCTTATTGACGTCCAATAGAACCCCATATTTTCTTTAATTAAGAATTATTACAATAAAACAAACAATACCGTAAATAATCATTATTAATATATTATTAATGTTAGCTATTTTTTATTATACGATAGTGCTAATCGTTAATGAAAAATTATTAAAAATTCATGATGATAATTCAATTTTTGTGGACCTTTGACACTTGGGGGCCTATTAGTCCCTATGTAGATTCGCCTATGCCCTCGTATAACACGGTAGTTACGTTCTGAAAAAATGCCATGTTGGGTGAATCCGCGCTATACGAAACAAAGGACTAATGCAAAACAAGGGGTTAGGTTCCAAAAGTTAGTAACGAAAAAGAATAGTATACTTTTGCTAAGAGAAATATGTTTATTAAAGCAATCGATACTTTATTTCCAATCAATAATTAATTAACAATCACAATTAACAGTACTGTATGACGCGTTAATATTAATTTTAGATAAACCAGGGCGTTTTTTTATATTCCCACCTTCTGAGTTTTTTTGTTGATCTTGATCTTGACCAGAAGTATAAGCAACATTTTTATACTATTTATTTTTATCATAAAAAATTTTATGAATGACGAATTAAAAAGATGTTATTAATTAATCGAAAATGTTCTAGCGAGTCACATCTNCGAAATAAAAAGATTTTATTAATCGAAAATTTGTTCTTGCATTTGTCGTCGAATACCGAGTGACTTTTTCCAGAATTTGTGTTCGAATACCGAATTGTTCGAGTGCCGAGATACTGCCGTATTTAGTTCATCATTTTATGAATAATCTGGGAACTCAAAATTCAGCCCTCAAGATTAAAAAAATTATTTTAATTAATTATTAAGTTTTTTCATAATAATTTAGCAGTATTCCCTAAATTATTTACCAAACAATAGTGAATTTTATTGTAATAATTTACAAATAAATTTTTATTATTCGTAGATTAGTAGATTTTTGAAATGCAAATCAGTAATAAATTTAAAAATAAATTATTTTTTATATCCATGTATTACTAGATTTTTTTGTTTTTAACACTTACCTTTTAAAACTTAATAATTCTTGTACCAATAAGTTTCAATTTTCATAATTAATATAATCTGAACATCAGTAACCTTTTAAATACAGCCAGGCAGTTGTAATTTTATATTGATTAATTTTCAATGTTATTTACGTCTCACATTTTTGGATCACTGGTATAGTGCCTACCAGAGAAAAAACGTGCGCATAGAACGCACACTGTAGGGTGTAGAGCCAGTGAAAATATTTAGAGGAGGCCTCAAAATTGAATTGCCTCTCAAGTGCTAAATCCGCCATTGTTTGTCCCTAACTAATTCCCTTAAGACTAATGAATTCTATTTCTACACGTACAGTACAAGTAATTTCGTGATCACATTTCGATAACTCGAAATTTAAGATCCGGAGACTATTTTATGTCTAATTTTGTGTGCTTTCTTTTAAATTTTCAAGGGGTCAGGCGATATTATAACGAAATTACTGAATTATTGACCCATCAAATTTATGAGTTTGTCTATTCCATCTTATTTGAAACAAAACATTCATACTGTATAAGTTTCATTATACAGTTTGAATCACATGTTGACATTTTCGACCAGTTAATCAATGTATCAACCATTTTTTTTATTCAAAATCAGGTAGAAATGGCGAAGAAAAGCGAACTTGAGATGTCCATAGCAGGAAACGTAAGACAGTGAAAGAAAAAACGAAAGATCTGAAATTGAGAAAGAATTTGCGTTGTGTTGAGCACTCTCTCTCTATATATATATATATATATATAGAGAGAGAGAGAGAGTACTCAACACAAGAGAGCACTCTCTCTCTATATATATATATATATATCTGGAAACAGACAGAGGATTTTGGAAAGCTTCAATAAACAGCAGAAACAGACAGAACAGAAAAGAAAAGATAAATGTGAGTATCCAGATGCTAAAAAATGCGTGCAGAAGTGGTTTGTACAATTAATGAATATTCCTGACTATGGAAACCTTCTTAGCGAAAAAAACTGAACAATTTGTATCGGATTCAAAGCAAGCAGTAAACGGTTAGATAAATTTAAGAGGGGGCATGGAATAGTTTTCAATGAAATCTGTGATAAAAGTGCAGAAGTGTGCAGAAGGATTACATGAATAATTACCAAAAATTCTACTGAACTATAGCCAGATGACATTTAACACGAGGACAAAACGGGCTTATTACTTTCTCGACTGTTAAATATACGAAATTTATTAATTGTTCATGTAACAGGGAAAGTACAACAGTCGATGGGAAAAAATGATCTTCCAAGACTTTTATATGTTTTTTTTTTTACTCTGGGCATCTTGAAACGTTAAGGCAAAAAAGTTGGGTTTTTTTGGCATGTATGAATGTTTGTGTATTTGGAGGTGCGAGATACGGATTTGTTCACTACTTTAAACCGTAATAATTGCTGTGCGTTTTGTCGAAAATTTCTAAAATTTTGCAGGGAGTTTTTATTTTTAAATATTTAAATACTCATCTTATAAATACTGTCCTTATAATTTATTTAATGGCCTACAAAACAATATGCCTTATTAAATAAAGCACACTCTTCGCCGGGGCTCGACTCTTGTCGAGACGTTTCGGCAAGAGTGTGGATAGATTTTTAGCATTCGTACCCGAATCCTTCGGACGAGAGTTGTGAATTAGGCATAACCGTTTTGCTGATTCGGTTTTTCGACATCGATTTGACCTTTTTTTTGTATATAAAAAAATGATAATTTGGTAATAGCTGCGCGTCCCCCTTGCAATAGTCTCGCGCCCCACCATAGATTAAAAATATACTGTTTTAGGGGAATGTTGCTATTAAATTTTGATCTCTCCATCCCCTTGATTAAAGATCAAGGGGATGGAGAGATGGAGGGATTACATGCGTCATATGTCGAGTGGGATCGGACTTGATGAAGATTTTACTCGTTATTAGCATTTACAGTTTTTTATTTAAAAAATCAACTTTACCTTCAAAGTTAAGCTTTTTGTCATTTTATAATAATAATAATAATACTGTAATATACAGTCGACCCCCCTATAAGATAGAGATACGTTCCATTCTTTAGGAATCCGATTTCTTACAAATCCTTCCAATCACAACCCGACACGTGTGAAGTTTACGGACTACGGCTGTTTGAAAGATTTTCTTCCATAAAATTAATCGATTCTAGACTAATTCGACTCAACCTTTCCAAAACACGTATATATTTTTTGGAAATAATCCGTATAAACTACGCTATAAATAAAAAATTGTAGGATTACTTACCGAGTGTCACCATTCGACATTGCCATTGCTCAACATTGTTTTCGTCGCGGAACAGCTCAGCAAAGAGCGGCCGATTTCTAACAACTTATTTTTCTGTGAAAACTTCGTAGAACTTCGGAGACATCATTAATATAAATAATTTTAATCGCCGTTGAATAAGAAATGTTTCTTTCACAA